AATGACATGGAAAATGCTCAAAATAAAATATGTGGTTAGAAAAAAATAGTAAACAATAGTGCATAGGGATGGAATTGCAAGTTATTTTATAATCTATATTATTTTTTAAACCAGAAAAATAAAAATTTTTGTTATTTAAACATGGTCTGGTAATGACAGAGATAGATGTCTTTTGCCTGCTTTTCAGATTTATAACAAATCTTCATGAAGATCTTAGTTTTTGTAACTGTGTTTATACCAGAGCATTTTTATATCTAGGCTAAGCCATTCTATTCTTAATCTTGCTGGGTAGAAAATTGTATCATATTTCAATGAAAGTTTTAAAATAAATATTTTTCTGTTTCATACACAAATAATAAATAATTCTTAATAACATACACTGAATTACTTAAAGTTATTTCAAAGTGCCTAGTACTTCTCTTATACCACACCATTGTTGGGCTTCATAATTTCTTTTCAGGGATATAAAAAAATTTGGAAAAAAAGAACATGGATTGTAAGCTCTGGCAGGAAATAACTTGCTGAAAAGTCTAATTTTGTATAGATTGTTTTGGAATCAAAGCTATTATTGAAACCTAAAGATCAAAATTAAATCCATAATAAGCTATAAATAATTAATTTCAAATGTTAATATACCATGAGAAATCAGATCCTTAAAAATGAAGGATTTCTTAAGGATAGAAAATTTTTTCAGGAAGAGGTGGGTTGGTGGATCTGTGACTTGCTACCAAGATTCTGATTTTTGACTTCTCATTTCCTCAGTAACCTTTGCAACTCTTTCCTTGATCTTCTCTATTCCTTTGTTGGCTTAGTTTATAATCATATTGTTTTCTCCAGAAGTGCATTACTTATTTTTCCTTGACACATAATTGTCACTTATCTTACTTTCATTTCTTCCCTCTTTTTTACTTTGCTTTAATAAGTCATAAATTAAACTGAATTGTTTTATGATGAAGCAACAGTTTTATTGAAAGAGCCGAAATATAGTTAATTGAAATATTAACCAATCCCAAAAGTATTTCTTTATTTTCAAGAGTATGGTTAAATTTTGAGCTCTAAAGTAAAACATTTTTTAAAATCTCCTCCAAATCATGACTACCAGAAACAATCTATAGCTTTACCAATATATACTGAGTGGTATTGGTTAAAAGATAAATAATTTCTAAGAAAAAAATTTTATTTCCTCTCACTGATACCCATACTTTTAAAAAAGTAGCATAATAAAATAGGGTTAGAAATATTTGTCTCTCAGGGTAGTTCTGAATGTAAATTAGGTAATTCTAAAAATAAAGTAATTCAATTCCTAGGGCAAAAAAACAAGGAAAAATGTTTGCTTAATCTGTGCCATTTTAATTCAAATGAATATAAAATATATCATGAGAGAAAGAGGAAAGATCTATATTAGTCATTCCATAAATGAGAGCCTAAGTTTAATGAAAAGACCTGAGAGAGAATTTAATAGTAAACATTTTTTATTGATATGTCTCCAGAAAGCCCCTGAACCTCTCTAGACCTGAGTTCAAACACAAAAAATATACAATCTTGTCTCAAATTTTTTCACAAATCTATATTAACTAAAGAGAAGTGTGAATACATATACCCAGTGATATGGGCACCTGACTTAATGTGGCTTTTACAAACCTAAAATTTCTTTCAAGTTTTATATTTTATTTTGAAAATTAATAAAACGTTGGGTTTCTACTCCAAAATCTACATGTTTCCTTTAATACAAATATAACGTTTACAACTACTTAATATTGGCCAGAGAGGTGAGGCTGAGATGGGATAATTTTCTACCTTGTTAAAAGTGGAAATGATTTTATAGTGAGCTCAGGTTTGGAGAATTGGGCTAAATCAAAGGTAATCAACAACCCATATTTTATTAGCATCCAGGCAGTTTCTTCTGTTGCATGATACTTCTAGAATTCAAGCTCTTATAAAAAAGGTAAATACATATAGCAGAGTCATTTCACTGCTTTATAGGCCACATCCTGGTAATTAATCCTTGAGGATAGATTCCTCTGCAGTTAATCTCTGACAAAAGATTCCCAGGAGGTTGCAAAAGAGGTGATACATTGTAATATTTTCAGATTATTTTTAATAGATATTTTGTTAAATATATTCTAGCTGACAGGCTGAATAGAAAGTTGAAATGTTTTTGACCCCCTGATTTATAACTTTTGAAATCACAATGAAATACTTATAAAATGTTTTATTCAGGGTAGAAAAATTATTAGTGATAACATTTTTTGTTTTGTAACATTTTAATTTTCAAATAGATAAACTAATAATCTCAACCAATCATAACCCCCACAATTCTTTATATCCAATTCTCAAATTTCATTTATATTGCAGTGATCCAATATGTAATAAAAACATTTGCAGTTTAACATCTCTTAGTTACTTGTGCAAAATGTTTAGCCTCATAGACAAATATGGGTAAAATTAGCTAATGATGTGAGGATCTTATAATTATCATGAAGAGTAAAGTAATTTATCTCATCCAAATGCTAATCTTTTGTGATTACTTTTAACTTCTTATCAAAGAAAAATAATAATCAGGCATTTGGACTAGCTGTGAATTTCTTTTATTTATACTATTCCATCATAATTGATGATTAAGGGTTGACTAGAATAAATGAGAATATTAAACTAAATCTATTGATGTTACTTTTCTCTAGTTCTCAAATTCTAGTTTATGAGACAAATCTTTTTCAAATTCTTTCTGAAGTTTTTCAGTATTAGCTATTATACCTGGTTCAGGAGCCACAAAAATATCACGTAACACTTGAATTACAACCACTTTTGGCATTGATAATAACCACATTGGTTTTCTAAAGTTGTCTTATGACAGTTTCAAATTTACAAAGTCAGATTTATATACAGAAAATTGATGTCAAGCATTGACAGATGAGCTTTCTGTTCCCAAACATCTTTGTTTAAATTGGTATTAAAATAAAAAATAAATTGGTATTATAGTCTGTTTTTCACAGTTAGAGTTCACGGGTGACTCTTACAACTCATTAAGTTTCTGTATTTGCACTTGCATTTGGAACTGAAATGGTTCAGGGAAAATTTCTTCCATAAATAAATAAAATAACATTGAATTTCTTCCATTGATGGAAAGAGAGACAGATAAACAAATAAGACAGAGACACATATACATATACATCTTCTTATAAGCATCATTTTTTTTCCAACCCATTTATTTCCAGGTCTATAAAGGGAATACAACTTTAAACTGGAACTCAGGAACTGTGGGTGTTGGTCCTAGATTTGTCATTAACAGATAACCTTGAAGAATATACCCCATGTTGCTGGAATTGATGTAATTTTAAGCCTTCTAGAAATAAAAGACAATGTAGAAAGTGGTGTTCACTTGTTACTAGATAACAATTCTGAAAATCTTCAGTTTCTCAAAGTTTTCCAGAAAGCAGCATGAGGCATTAGACTATTTTTTAATAGGAAATTACCTAATTTATCTTTATAATCACAATACTGTGAATCTCCACTTAAAATGGAAAATAGTTTTTGATGTATGTTCTCTGAGATCAAAGAAAATAGCACAAGAGAAAGACTAGATGTTATAAGTTCACTATCCATTCCGAAGCCCTCTCTTAGAGTGTTGCCATTGTAATTAGTATTAGACCAAGAAGTATTGACTAAGAAAAATAAGAGTTGGTGATTATCTTTTGGGTATATCATTTAGTTAATGCTGAAGAATTAGTAAATACTTTATCAAGTAAAACCAAAAGTTGACATAACTCTTATGTACCAAGATGCTTTTTTTTTTTTTCAAAATAAAAATTCAGTTTTCTCAGTATTATTCCTAAGAAATCTCCATATACTATCAGAGAGATCCTAAAAGGGATAAGACAATGTATAGCCTGCCTCCAGGAAATATAATTTTGTAGCATGGTCAGGTTTCTTATTTTTCCTGAGGACTTTAACACTTGGAACCTGGCATCACATTATCACATTGATGCTTCCTCTACTATCTTAGAAAAAAAAAAAAAAAAACAAAAACAAAACAAAACCAAAAAAACAGGAGCATCACAGCTAACTTGACCTATGTTGGTCTGAATGGAGACCATCATTCTGCATGTATAGTACCCATAGCATAAAAGCGCTTGGTCTGAAATTTCCTCACCCTTCTTCCCTACCTTTTTTTGTTTGCTTGTCTTCCTCTCTGACCAAATATTAGTTCTTGTTACAGCTCTATGAAAAAGCAAAAAAACATTCTAATTTGTATCTCATCTAATAAAACACTTTGTGTTGAGAACCTTCGTTTTCTCATTTATATAGTGATGTGAAACCAGTTTTAAAAATAGTAGTTTTACTTTTAGTTTCCCCTATCTTACCCAAGAGGAAAATTCAACTGAAATAAAAGAAAGTTTTGAGGGAGTGAATGTATTTAACATTGGTCTGGCATTAAAATTTTCTGGTTGGGCAGCACAATTGTTTAATTGGGAATCTCAGTGACAGCTGAACAACCTCAGTGCTTGGGTCAGCAAGCAAAGGGGCTTCACTCTGTCACCTATCAAGAATGATGCTTGTTAGAACTGATCTTTCCACTTAGGGAACAGTCATGTTTGTCATACCATTGATGTTTTCTGATATTACAATGGAATAGACACTATAACACTTAAAGAGACAAAGTTCTCTGCATAGATATATTTGTAATTCCTTGTTTTTCGTAAACCAAATGCAAATGTAACACTACTCCAGATACTGCTACGTCAGAAGTCCCCAAGATAACCAAAAGTAAGTGCCCATTTCCTAATCTCAGGAATAATGCTATAATAAGGACAATTCTAGTGACCAGCCTATTTGCAGAGCATGTCATATAGCCTCTGGGTTAGTTAACTCCTCAGCTTCCTAAGAGATACCTCAAAGAGTCAAATGATGTTTTTGCATGTATTACTTACTAATGTGTAGAAAATTTTTTAAGTTCACTTTTTCTTTATTCTGTCTTTTTTACCCATCTTCCCTCATTGTAGCAAATTAGACGGCCGGATGAAAGCAAAGGAGTTGCTAGTAGAGTTGGATCCCTCAAAGTAAATATGTTTCTAACATTTTTTTGGCAAGATTTCGTCTATAGCCTACACTTCTTCCTTTTTGGAGGGTGGTGGGAGGAAGGGGGCTTTTTCCATTTTTCACCATCCCATTTTTTTTTTATTTTAAAATTTTTATTGGCTGTTGGGTCATATTTTTTGTTTGTTTGTTTCAGCTACACATAGAGCAACCAGCTGAAGGCAAGCTGCCAAATAACTAGCTTTGAATGGCACCACAAACAAGAGAAAGGGCAACTGTCTCATTACAGGTGCCTATAATTTGGGGTTCTAGAGTAAACCGTTCCTCTGATTGATGTCACTGACTATGTGTTAAGTTCCTGTTACACAGAGAACTAATATTTATTTTCAGAATATTATCTCCCCTTTTTGCTTTTTTTATAAAAAGTAACTAAATGTTATGTTAGTGTCATTACCATTTGTAGTTCATTCCAGAAAAATATTATGAGTTAGTAACATGTATTTTATATATATATATATATATATATATATATCTTAAGAATTAGGAAAGAAATTTTATATGATGCTGGTATAATGGGCTCACATATAACTAATAGTATTTAAATACTTTTAATCCCCTTTGGTTTGTTTTTTTAAAGTTAAAAAATTGATATAACAATCAATGGAAACCAATATATATCTAAATGTTTGCCCATTTGTGTATGTGATCTGCTAATACACAAGTTTAAGATTTCTGATCTGATGGCCCCATTTGCTAGTTGTTAAATATCTATTTGGCCAATATATCTTGGGCACTCGATACTCTAACATTCAATGACAATGAAAAGGTAAGCCAATCATCACTCTTTAGAAACAGAGACATAGCCCTTGATCACTATTAATGCTGCCACCATAAATGCAAGTTAGAAAATTTGCTGAATTTTAAAAATATGCAGAGGAATTTCCCCCCAGATTAACTACTACTTATATCTCAATCCTATTTGTCCTAACAGCAATAGTAACTGTTAATCAAAATGACAGACAGTTCACTGCATTGGGATATCCCAAAATTCATTAACTGCCTTCAGGCCTAATATTAAGTCAATTCAAAATTTTATACACCTCCTATTTATTTCCATTTAACAATTTATGAAGCACTAATTTCTGCACTCCTTCCTCTCCTTGCCTCTTCTGCCTTCTTAATTTTACTTTTTTGTTGTTTATTTATTTGTGTGTGTGCACGCACATGAGTGCACATGGATGAAGGTGTGTCTGTATGTTTGTGTCCTTTATTCCAGACAAGCCATCTTCTCTGTTCTCTAACACTGCTGTATACTGGGTAGCATTTTTTGTTTTGTTTTGTTTTTAATGTTTTTTCACTAAGAATAATGAGAGGGGATGGGAAGTGTGGATTATGTGCCTGTTTCAAAATCATGGCAAGTTAAAATTATTCAGTCAGAAAAATATAAGTTTATGTATCCCAGTGATACATCAGTAGCATTCCTCACTGTCTACTTGTGTGAGGTATCATATTTTACCTTTGTCTTTAAGGGAATATAAGTCCATTATTGTTTAGACTATGGATTATGAGCCAGGTTCAAGTGAAAAGGTGAAACGTGACATAACTTCTTAAAAATTATTGAGAGTGAAATAAAATAAAATGGCATCCATAAGTGCAGCACCATCTGCTATAAACTGGATTGTGTGTGCAAGCGCGCGTGTGTTTAATTATCTTTAAGTTCAGCTTTTGGGTGTATAGAGCTTTAACTTATAATTGTACATTTATTATTTTTAAGTGTATATACGGTATGATTATGTATATACACATGTATATGTTTAAGATCAAAGATACACATTAGGGTTCAGTCAGTTTACTTTAATATGGTTTCAGCTTTAAATCAAAAAGTGTGTTTGGGAAAAGCAAATTTCATAATTTCTAAATATTTTTACTCTATATTTCTACCAAATAGAAAATTTTAAAGTGAATCTCTAGGGGATTATAAGGATAGTTACAGTATTTATTTTCTCCAACACTTTGGGGAGAAAAGATGCTATAAATAAAATAAAATGTTGGCTTCCTACTCACGGATTTATTGAGCATGTATTCTTCTGTTATACAAATATCTTTGATGTTTTGATATGTTTGCCAAAGGCAGTGAGAAATGTATAACGCTATGATCTTATTTTTAAAAGGAAAAAGGAAAACTGAAAAGAGAACAAGTTGCTTTTTCAATTCATTTTCTGATGTTTACATGTAGCTCCATCGAAAGCTGGAGGAGCTCAGAGATCACCTAGAAGGCAATGTGAAAGGATACTCTCTCAGAGTAAATGTACGATTTCACTCGGTGATTTTTTTTTTTCCTAAACTTCTGCTGACTGGTAATTCCAAATCTGATTGGTTTGTCCTCTCATCTCCATTTTTTTACTTTCTGTCTCTTTTCTATCTCTTTCTTTCTTTCCTAGCTGTAGCTTCATGCTCACATTTATCAAATAAAGATTAAGTTGGCAGGGTAGAGGACACTTAAGCCACACTACCCATTGCAGTTGATTTAATAATTTATGGCTCCAATGCAAAATAAAAATTTTCTTTTCAAAATCTGTGTTTCTTACACAATTGTATAATTTTCTGAGAATCTTTTCGTGAGACTTCACTTGGAGCTTTTCCATTGACCATTTCTTCTGCCCCTTGTTGGATTTGTCAGCAGGATTATAAATTATTGGCTGGATCCAAGTGATAGAGCCTTGATGATTCAATTCCATTTGTTAAGGAAAATGATCAATGTTAGAGTATCATAATAGTAATCTGGCAAGTAGACACATTTTGCTGAGTTAATAGACTTCTCTTAACTCAAACTCTTTGAGAATAGCTATAAGATTCTTTTGTTGAAAAAAAATTAGGCAGTAAGCATCTTCAATGTCATAACATCTTATAAATACTTGAGATAAAGGCTAATATACCCAAGACAGCACTTTGAAGGAGAATACCTTATAGCCACGCAATACTGTACATGTGTCAGATAGGCAATACTAATAATAGTATTTTTTGTGACCCATAGCTCAGGCTCAGAATGCTTCATCCTTCTCCTGAATATATCTTTTCAAGAGAAATGGAAATAAAATCTCTAAAATGGTATATGGTATAAATATGGCAGAAGAAAAAATAAATGATTGCAATAAATCATTTCTGGCTCTGTTTAGCTCTGACATCCCATTCCTGGGGCTTTTTAAAAAGTATCTATCCATCCTAGCCTGGATTTATTTCCCCCAAGATTATTGCCATACATTTGATTCATATTGCTATAATAGTTTTGTTATAAAGAGTAGAATAAACAATAGTGATATGATAATTCTTGGCTTCTCAGCTTGTTTTTAATTATATACCATACATAGTTATTTCTATCTCTATATTAAATTTCTGATTACTAAAATCCAAAGTTGTTTTTATAGTATTAATCATTAAATTCTGATTGCTAAATTGAGTGATTTAACAATTAATGCAAGTATCTCATTTTTCTACTTTCTTGTGAGCCAGTTCTTCTTTTCTATGCATATCTTACAGAATTTGAAAGATCAACCATAAGCACTCCCAGAATTTATTCCACTATCTTACAAAAAAGATTAGTATGAATTTTATGATTAAATCAGTCTAAACATACCTGAATATTATTCTAGAAAGCCCTAAAAAGATTCAGACAATATTAATAAATGTATTTAGTGTCATACTCTCTGTAACCAATCATGAGATGTGATTTTTTTCCTATTAAACCAAGACCAGAAAGTTGAGACTTCTTAAGGTCTATATGGAAGGGAGTTAGTGTGAGATTAGGATTAAAAGTTTTGTGCTTCAAAAATTAAGTTATATCATGCCACTTTTCAATTTCTTTTTTTTAACACCTGTACTGCATGATACAATATGTAATGACTAACCCAATGTCTTCATCTTTTGTTTCATTTCACTGGGTCACACTTTGTTCTGATTACCTTTTCTTCTAAAAAGATTGAATATTAGGTAAATCATTCTAAGATTCCCTTTAACTAGAAATGTATGGGGAGGAAAGCTATCAAAAGGCAAATTGTATCTTCCGCAGAGTTCAGCTTAGACAAGATACATATCAAATACATAGCTGAGTGTTCAGTTTCTCCCCTTTCTTTTAATTCCCATTACCCTAGAATGCCTTAAAATAACGCTTGCATGTTAAAAATTGTTGCTTAGAAGCAGAATAAAGTTATTCTCAGTTCCATAAGCTATATAAACAGATTTTGTTTCTAAAATGAGATAAATTGGCATATAATGACCATTCCATTTTGCAAAAAATTATTGTAGGCATGTATGATCATTCCATTTTGCGAAAATTTATTGTAGGCATCTATACACAAGAGCAAGTCTGTGGGTGCCTTTTAATTCATTGAAACATTTCTAAGTAATTCGATAAGATGAAAGATTCAGAACCAGGTTTGTACTTAAATATTTTATTTAATAGTTGGGAAAATGAGACATCATTCAAATGTTTGGAATAAGGATTTTATTAAATCATTAATGCTTCAATTGGTTTCATCTATATGATATATTATTTTTTTAGAAAAGAATCCTGCATCCTTACTTATTACAAATAATCAGTGATATAAAGTAGAATATTCTAAGATGTAATTTTTAGAATAAAATAAATTTTATTTATTTCTCATATGAAAATATACTTTATCCTACATTGGCACTTCTATAACAAAAAGTAGGATATGTTAGATTCTTGAATTACAAATTAAGAGTGTGTCATCATTTTCTATACATGGTACAAAGCAGAAGTATTCTGAACCCCAAATGAGTTTTTAGTAATTTTAATAATAATAAAACTATCATCTTTTGCCTTTATAAATTATCATCTTGTAAGTAGAGTTTGCCTAATTTAATGACTTCAAAAGTTACTACAAATCCTTAGACTAATAATGTGTTGAGAATAATAACTAAAAAATAATCCCACATAAAGGAAAAAATTGTCTTTACATTTAAGAAGATGTGAGATGAGAGAGAGAGAGAGAGATCCACAATG